GATTTGCAATTTTTCACTTGAATAGTAAGTATATCAGACATTCCTTCTTTTGAGAAGCGAAAAGTTCAACTAAACGGGTTATGTCTATCGCTTATTCAGCTACAGAATATGTTGTTTACGGAAGTGTAAAAATACGAAGGTGCAGTATCCCCTCGCAAAGAGCATATAAAATGTATCTATAAATCAAGACAGCATTCAAAATCGATCCCGATTATTAAATTACGCCACTTGCTTTTCATACGACATTGACTCACTCACCCACTCACCCAACAAAAAAAACAAAACAAAACAAAAACACACACACACACAAACACACACACGATTACATTAATATATATCCCCTTCAAATCTATTACAAGGAGATATTATGTACTTACATATATATCTTAACGTTTAAATGTATAAATTTTTGTGGACCTTAGTGCGCTTAGTGCGTTGAAAACTACATACTATAATCCTATTGTGTTAACAGACAGAATAATTTAGATTTTTTATTGTTTGTTTTGTTATAGAATTGTCAATTATGTAATTATTGTAATTTTAACACTGGCAAAAATGCATTAAAAAGAACAAAAATTGGCTCATAACTGCAGGTTTTAAATTTTTTAAAAAAAGTTCAGTGCTTTTTTTAATTTGTTAATTGTATAAAAAAGAATCTATTTTTGAGTTTTTCTTTTTTCTTTTTGCAAAAGTTCATTGCCCTCTTTGTTACAGATCAAGATATACAGACTGCAGGATTTTAAGAATGCATATAATTCTTTGGGTATAAAACTGGTTTGAATGTTAATGGAAGATGAAGATGAGAAAACAGCAATAGAATGCTACTGAGATCATAGACATATACCATCCAATTTCCCAAGATCTGTCGCTTTTTTCAAATTACGTCTGCTTGAATTGGGCTAAGCCATGACAGAATGCAGTATTGTTAATAATTTTCTGTAAAATTACTTTTTCAACAATTATTTAGTCTAAAAAGGCAATCATTAAGCAAATAAGTCGGTTAACAAATGAAAATGGAATTTCTTTTTATTGGAAAAGATATTGTAGTGCACATGTACTTAAATAGGTTCAGGCATGGAAGTCAAATCTAGAAGTCAAATCTAGAGTTGAAATAGAACCAATAAAAACCCCATTTGAATATTTTGATTTCAACGAATCTTTGCTAAATAAATTGAAAAATTATTGATAACTATACTAGCGTATACATATACATAGATACTGTCAGTCGAGATAAGCATCTTTTTAATATCAACATCGGGTACTTGAGAGTTCATTCCGATTGTTATCAACAAAACATTTTGCAAATGACCACTGATAAGTTAATTAAATTTACGAGTTCCATTTCTATTGAAAAAGCAATTGTTAAGGATGGCAAAAAACCTGGACCTTTGTATATCGTGGGGAATTGTTGTATGCAGTTTTCAAAAGTCGTGCGTTTTGATGTTATTGTTCTTGATAAATTTTATTATTTCAAATTTTTCTGAAAGTTTCTTGGAGTTTTAAATGAAAAGGGTGAATATAGCAAAAAAGTAATCAATATGGCAAAAATCCTGTATATATACGAACCTCAAAAAAGGGCAAAAAACACAAATAAATGAGGTTAACTTTGCTTATAAATAAATGCACTTATTCGCCAAATAGTACTCACTTTACGATAAAAAAGTCACAAAATGGATTATAAGTTAAAATGCGTTTCTTTTGTTTATGTGATTTCATTCTTTTATTTTAGATAATAATATTTGATGAAATTTTTATCATGTCTATTCAAATGAAGGTTTGCCCTTATCAATTTTGAAATGAAAAAAAATGTCCTGAGTTACATTAATTGCTTATTGGAAATAAAAATCCATCACGATAGAATACGTATGTTTGTTTCATATTTTCATCTGTTTTATACAAGATAAAAAATACCTTAATGTCTTTAATGTATAAAAGAATTAAGATAAAAAAAATATGCATGCATGTAGATGTTTATTGAGAAGATATTCTAAAATTTTATATACTGGGTCAGGTACTGGAGTTTCTAAAATTAACCAGATCGTGAAATTAATCCGCAGCACTTTATTCCAAAACTGTTTTCAATTGACCAGTAGAATATTTCCATAAATGACTCAATGATATCTTGTTTAGATTTGAAAAATAATAATAATGATAAAAAAAACTCTTATTGATCATTCAACAACGTGTTCTATTCTTCTTCTATCCATGCTAAAAATCTAAATCTTACTATATACGCAAACACTTATAAGATAAAAAAAATAACTTTAAAGTCAGAATACCTTTTATCTAAAATTAACAGAATCCGAATATACAACAATTAAGATGATTTTTTTAAGCATTAAAATTTTGAAATAATTCACACTGTCTTGTCTTTTTTCTAAAAAAAATTATATGTTTTTTTCAAATTAGCAACACACTCACATACAATGACTATGTTTAATGAAATTTATCTCCATTTGCCATTACGTTGTCGGCAAATTGAATGCTTAACTTATTACTTTAGTCAAATGAAATAAAGGTTCAATAACTGAGCTAGCATTAGTGGGTATTTGTGAAAAGATTGCGACAGTCTCTAAGCCTCTACGGTATATTAAAAACTGGAGTGTATAGTTTCAACAAAAGTTAATTACAATTGAGATAGTTACTCAGGGAAATTTACCAAATTGGTATCATCATTCAGAAGGTAGCGCAATAGAACACAAAGTGAGCACGGTTCTCCGTTGGGAGAAAACAGTTCTCTTCAATAAAGCTCGACTCTCCAGGTCTTACATTGTCATGTGCGTGCAATATCGCTATGTGAAAACATTTGCATCGTTTTTCATGTTCATTTTCAGCACTTAAACAATAATTAATCCCATTTCCAGCACTTTCTCGCCGAAAGGTCTACTAACTAATACAAAGTTCAAATAAACAAGAAATTCAATAAATCTAGATTGCCGTAAAACCGTACTCCCATCTGCCGAGGCAGGGAATGTTTTTCGGAAAAAACGTCATGGTTGCCTCCTTGCTTTGGGATTCTGTAATCCAATTGAGACGAATTTTAATCACATTAAACTCATTTCATTTGTAATTCCCGGATGCGTTTTATTCATATAATTCATTCCGTAATTAAAATGATCTTTTGCGGTCTCAGTCATCATTTTCACTAAATATATTTATCATTTATCATATTCTGATCTATAGGCTGTACCAGATGGAAACATTATCCTGATTTATTTTCAGTACTATTAAATTATTTCTTACTCAATTTATGAATTAAATGAATCAAATCATGATCATTTTTGCGCATAACATAAACAATAAATGGAGTAATGCTAAAAAAAATTGCAATGATATAAGACATAAAAATATATATTTTTTTAAATATCTTATTGTCTTTACTTTTTATGAGATTTCTTTAAAAAAGATTCATTGCATGCTAAAAGTATTTTCATAAAATAAAATATAAATTTGACATTTCTTTCCCTGGAAGATTAAAAAAAAAAATTAACTTCACCTGCAACAAAAATTTATCGTAAGTGTAGCATGAAAGCGTCAAGGATTACAAAATTTAAAATTCAAATTCGAAATCAGTTACATTCATACAGCTCAATGCGGAACCCTAATAAAAGAACTATCTTTCGGGTAGGTAAAATTCGCTGTTGACAGCAACATATTTTCCCCGTGGGACTTAATAAAATCACCATCATTTCAAAATGTCTCTTTTACGAGCTTCAAACTCCAACAAAACGGGTTTTAATCTTGAACGGATCATATATTCATTTCACCCCTATGTGAAGTAGTGTCGTTCATAATACGATAATTGCAGCGAGAAATCGCACAAAGACTGCACATCCACGGACTTAATAATATAAATCCGATTTGAATATCACCCTTGTACCTTTGAAATTAATGTATTTAAACTAAACATATGGCAGAGCAATTTAAAACGCGAAAAGTGTGGGATTTTCGTGTTTTTACGGGGAGGAGCGTTCGGCATCGAGCACATGTTTGTGTCAGGGGTGCAGGCGGTGACAATGGGGGTCACGAATGAACGCGAATTGAGGTCGCAATTCTTGACCTCCGTAAATTAATTCCAACCTCTTTGGTGGTCATATGCCGATTTTTTCCTACTAGTGGACATAAAATTCTCGTTGTTTTCTTAAACATGTTTATCCGAGCATCTTATCTTCAAGAGCTCACTTTTCTTTTTAAGGGTGATTATAGTTGTAAAATTTCATTTTCCTCTGGCATCTTTTGAGGAATCCTCATAGTCATATGGATATAAAGTCAAACTTGGAACCTTTAAGACTGTGTTAAATTTTATTTTCAAGCATTGATTGATTGAAAAAAATCATTATTATTTTGTACAGAAATAAAAAAAAACATGCATTTTTGAGTATGAAAACAGGAATCCAATTTGCTTATTTTTTTTTCATTCAAAAAGAGTAATCACTAAAAATACTATTTAATTACAAAAAAACCCCACTACAATTAAAATATATGAAAATGTTTAAACAAAAAGATATCTTGAAAATGTATAGATATGCATTCTAAATTGTGTCTAGATAATTATTAGAACATGTTTTGATTAGGAAAAGGAAAGAAAAGTTTGGTTTGTTGAGAGGACCATTTATCTCAGACTCAATCCCAAAATTCTGAAGCCAATAAAATGAAATTACAAAGTTGCATGATTGCAAGAAATTGAATCTGCCAATATAAAACATTAAATGTCGACACAAACCCGTTAGCTGCTACTGAAAATAATGTTCTTTTTATCGTTGTTGTGCGACTTCAGTCGCCATCTTAATCACATGATTTCATTTCTAATGAAGTTGATATTCCTATCACGGTGGCACGAGAACAGACTGAATCTCCGCCTACTTTGGCGAAATACATTTCATTGGGTACCATCCCATTTTGTGATACGTTTCAGGTTTTGTTTATCTTTGCTAGAAAGTGAAGAATTTCATATGAAGAAGAGGTAAATGTATGCCTGTCAAATTCTCTAACAATTTAAAAAATGTTCGTCCTACCCGCACTATCAATCTGACGAGACTTAAAGCCTTCGTTATTCATGATAAGGGTTTCGTTGTGTGGACGTGTTAATCATCCTGTATATTTGATGCCCAGTTACACCCCATTTTCTTGCTTCATTGATCAGCTATCATACCTATATCAAGGGAAAAAAGACAGTAGACTATTTTAGGACCTATAACGTTCATCACACTGATTATTCGCCCCTCTCTTGTGAATAAAAGTTCCGAAGGTTATGTTTCTTAAATTGTTCGTGAACATTTGAGAATTCTTAAAAGACTGAGATCTAAATTTAACAATGGAGAAGTTAAGAAGTATTAAGAAGCAAGGTTAAAATCTGAGCTGCAAGAAAAAGAAGAACAATGTCATCGTGTAGTTCCCCTGTGGAAACCAAAGATTCAGATAAAAATGTTATTGTGGATAAATCTGATTCTGAAGAAGAAACAGAGAGGAAAAATGACGATGAGAACAGCGATGGGACAGAAGACACAAATTGTTTTCAACCAACATTTCCAATCGTGCAGAGACCTATTGCAGCAACCCCAAAACGTTCCTTTCTCATAACAGACATTCTCTCCGAAGACAAGTCGTCTACCAAACCTTGTTCAGCCTTCAGGCCATTAAGGGTACCGCCAGCGCTAGTGAGCAATTGTAACAATAGCTTTAGTCCCGTTAGTGCTTCTCAACATTGTCTGAACTTTTCCTCATTGAAAAGACATTCAGAGAATTCAAAGAAAAGTGAAAGTAAGACATACGATGATGATGAAGATATTGATGAAGAAGACGATGAAGATGACGATGACGGAAATAGCGGTTAGTGGAACTGAAAAATTAAAATAATTTTTTTTTTCGATGAAACATTTTTACTACAAATCCAGTGAATTAAATATGTGAGCAAAACACACACAAAACTAAGATTACCTTTAAATTCTGTTGGTATCTGTTAAAATGTACCAAAATAAGTAACTTTAGTTATCTCAGATAATATTTAAAATCAGATGTTTAATTTGATTGCTTCATCTAAAGATAATATAATAAATAAATTACGATATCATTGTAATATTTGATCTTTATTTTCTAAAGAATGTGAATTAATTTTACAATATGATCTAACAAGCTTCGAATTTACAGAAGGTGAAAAAGACATTATACAAAGATTGATAATGGATTTTGTAATTAAATCAGTTCTATAATATACCTAGAATCAATTGAATAAAACAAAAATAGTCTTGGATCTGAAAAATGAATGTTAAATCAATTTAAAAATCATAAAAAAGTTTTTTAAAGCATGCCTTACTTTATTAGATTAAAAAGTTGACAACATAGGAATTTACATGGGTAAAAAAGTGAAATTATATTAATTTTTGAAATACTGCAGATATTGCAATCGGTTAATCAGCCATTATAATGATAATTTTAATTTAGATATTGCAATTAACACATATTGTCATTTAATCATATCATTTTATATGGTACACATGTATTTGAGAAGTTATATTGACTTCTTAAGCAGAAAAAACAAAAATGTCTGAATGTTGATCTCTTCGCCGTGTGTGGCCGCATTAAGTTGTTTCCATGTTAATATTAACAACTACTAAGCACATGTTTAGCTTTAATCAAATAAACTAATGCTTTAATTTTCAGCTCAAGTAACAACACCATGTGTAAGGCAGTGACACAAAGGCAAAATGTTCTTTTATGCATAATATGAACATTTGGCTTAAGTCACCAGGTATTGGGCCACATTCTTGAAATACGTGTATAAGGTCAAATAGTGTGGAATTAAACAATTTGATATCTCTGATGAAGCAGATGTGATATTGATGTATACAAAAATCAATTTATTTCATTTTTTTAACTTGGTTTGGAAATGCATCTGATTTGTTTTTCATAGACTCTGTCTGTTTTTTTTCTATTTTGCAACTTTTGAAATAAGTAATTTTATTTAAAAAGAGATAATCTTCAAGCTTTGATAAAAGTCCGAAAGATATATTTACAATACCATGTCCTCAGTTTTTAATCAGAAAATACACTTTGAAATATTTTTGATATAAAATTCAAATTATCATATTATTTTTTTCACATTTCTAAAATTTGGAACAGAGAACATCAATCTAACTGAAAGTATATTATAATTGATAGTTCTGTCTTTAATTCTATTTCCTGATAGAAATTATGTTCAAAATAATGTTTCAGCAAAATGTGCTTATTTCAATATTTTGCTAGCATTAATTAAAATGATTTTCCTTTGCTTATGGTTAGTTTGATTTACATTTGTACACAAATTGTAATTTATTTTCACTCTTATCTATCGTATAGGTCTTTTGGGATGCATTGTTTAACATCAACACTCCTAAAAAATTAATATAATAATAACATGATTTAAAAGTCATGAAAGATACACCGTGCATAGATAACAACTAAGATGCATAATTTTAAAACTTGCAAGATAGATTAAAACATACCTTTCATATCTACTTTGAAAAAATAAAAAATACTATCACGAATATACAAAAAATTCAATTCAGAACAAAGTTGCCGTGTATATTTTACAGACATCCAAACCTTATTGTTCAGTAGTAGTTAACTCAAATACCAAAAATGATTTTTAAATAGTGTGCTTCTTCTTTTGCAATAGAAACAAATCGTGAATCTAATTCATCATTGGACGATTCTCCAGGTGGAATCTTGAAACAGAAGAAACCAAGAAAAGCGAGAACAGCCTTCACTGACCATCAGCTGAATAGTCTGGAAAAAAGCTTTGAGAGACAGAAGTACCTAAGTGTCCAGGACAGAATGGAACTTGCCTCCAAACTGAATTTGACCGACACTCAAGTAAAAACCTGGTACCAAAACAGAAGGTATGTAATGTGAATTTCATTATAGAAATATTTAGCTGTTATTAGTATTAGTATTTTAAATGCAAAAAAAACAAAAAAAAAAAACAAACAAACAAACAAACAAACAAACAATAAAAATTATATTCACAACTTTTTCATTATACAAATTACACACATTAGTAAAGTCCAATGCCTTTTCTGAACCTTGTTCTTATTGCTTGGACCATTTAAGGAAAATAGAAAAAAAACTTAAAGCTGAGTGAATATGACATTTATTGCCAAGATAGATGACAAGGTGTGAAACAAAAACATATATAATATACAATTACTTACAATAATGTACATTAAAAGCTTGGATAAGGTCAAATGATGAATAATTTCAATATTAAGATAAACCTCGTGTTCCACCTGATTTCAATATTGGGAACAAGATCCCGAAGAAAGTTGAACCCGACCTTAATAAGACATACTAATAATAACTTCATTTTATTATTTTATTGACTTTGTCATTAAATTGTAAAAAGCTTGCATATAAAAAATTTTATGAAATGAAACATAAAATTTTATTAAGACATAAAATGTAAGTACATGTATTAACATCTCTAGCCTCTAAATATCGAAATTATAGCTAATAAACACCATTGCTTAAATTTTCAAAATACATTTTTCAATGTTAAATAATTTTTATAGATTGTATATGCTTAAAATTCGTAGTTTTACAGACCCATGGATTAAGTATTTGTATGAATACAACGTGTCATTTAAGGAATGCAAAGCAAAAATGACCAATAACATTGCTTACGGAGAAATCGTATTTCCTTCTCTTTGAATTGCATTCTTAATTAAATAAAGAAAATTCTTTGTGTATCATCAGATTTTATTTTCAGACCAAGTTAAGCAATTATTGAGCAAGAAAGTTATATTATTAATAATCTCTTGACTTATTTATAACCCCACTTACGGTAGGTTAAGACAGGCATTGAAGAAAAGTTCGCAGGGTACAATACTATAATTCTTCAATATTCCTTATGCTTGATTTATCAGGTTATTTTCTGTTTCATAAAGCAATGTAATTTGGTTGCATTTTTCTTCTTATAAGTAAGAAAATCGCCGATAACGATCCAGCGGTCCGACGCGCACGAGTTTTACATGGCTTTTATTGAATAGGTAATTAAATAGGTACGAATAGATTCATTCTCACAAAGATTGAATTATTGAAGAAAAAAATCCAATATGAAGAAAACAGCTTCTTAAATTATAAAATTTTATGGGAAAATATGCATATTATAAATCCAAAAATTGTTTCTTCAGTCTGAAAAGGTGTTGTAGGTAACAATGAAAAATACACTTGAAAAAAATATAAAATATACAATAGAATTATACATCAAATGCAGCAAAAATGTGAAACGCTAAGGATTCAATGATTTTATTTTTGACTTAATTTTATCAACATTTATTAACATTCATTTTCCATAAAATACAATTGGTAAATATATCAAATATAGATAATGCTTAGACTTATTAAATCTCGCATAGAGTTTTTTGTAATTTTTTAAAACATTTATAATAAGCCATTGTTTATCTTGTATGTGCATTGATTATCCCATTCTTTTTTTCCACTCCAATGAATGCTCAATAAAAATCGAATGATAATAGATAAACTATATTAATCATAGTCTCATCATGAATTTATTTAATTAACATCAAATAAAATTAATATAAGAAATTAACGACAGACGATACAAACGAACTTTTGTCAAAAAAAATTTGAAAATAACAACTTAAATGTTTTAATGAGTAAAATAAAAGTTTCACAGCGTAGTTTTTTAAATTTTTTTATTCAAAGTTTCACAAAAATGGGATTGGAAGTGAAAAATAATTGTAAAGATTAATAAGGATGGTTTTAGAATGGTAGACATTTGAACATCATATAAAGTTTAGAAGTTCTTATATTCTAGAAATTTATTATTTGCATCATTTGCAATAAAATTAGACCATAAAATATTTACCAATCCAGGCATCCATTTTTGTTTGTATCATATGTCCTTTGTATAGGTAATCAAATCAAGTAAGACAAAATTGATTAATTTTGTATTACATTGTTTGCTTAGATAGTTTTCTTTTTCTAATAACAATAAGAATTTTTGAAAAATAGTCTTTTTGATATGAAGTGACATTGAAGTTATAAATGTTTGTTGTTCCTTGTATTGGATAATCAGTTTATTTCTGCATTGAATGTTAAAATTTTAGAACAAAATGGAAGCGACAAACGGCTGTAGGTTTAGAACTCCTGGCTGAAGCTGGGAATTTTGCTGCTGTTCAGCGCCTCATCCACACAAATCCATACTGGTTCAGTTGTCATCCACAGGCATCATCCATCATATCCAACATAGACGCCATGTACTACCGCCATAATGAAACGTCACTTACCCAAAGACCAACGCTACCGCGCATGCTCTTACACGGTATTCAACAACATATCAACCACATGTCACCCAGTAACTCACTGTTTTCAGAAAACAGAAATTAGAAGCGATGTGTTTATATGAATGATTCTGACTATAAGTAGTTAACATTTCTTACTTTAAGTTGTTCTCATGGGTTCGGCTTTACAGTTTCGCTGGCATCACATTGTTTTTTCCCCGTGGTGAGGCAACTTGTAGCATTTAAGACTACATTTTATCAGATATATTTATGTTATTTGATGATGTAAAATATCTTTGTGAATTGTAAATTGAATTATATGCTTTAATGTAAAAATTAAATATTGAAAATGTCTACTTTTTTGTTTTATGTCTAAATCAAATAAATGGAAAATATTAGTGCGCATTTGAATTCAGTTTGTATTACCTTCTCTCATTTAGTATACTGAGATAACAATGAATTTTATTTCAAAAATATTATAGATGGTTCGTTCTCTAATTATTGATATTTGTACTAGATTAAGAAATTCCGCCCATTCAAGGTTTAGGATGAAATTATTTCCCTCCCCAATTTTGTTGTGAATCAGTATATTTGTCATTTTCTAATGCATTTAAACGATATAAAAAATAATTGTGAAAAAAACTTTAGTCTAAAACTGTTTACCCTAAAAAAATAGTTTCATGTTTCTATAATATGACAGTGGGAGATTTCGACATAGCAAAAGAAGCTTTTAGTCAAGGAAAAAGCTTAACTAGAAGGCCGTATAAACTGATACTACGACATAAATTATTCCCAACAACAATATTGCTCTAGTTTTTTTGTCTTTGTAAAGATTTCACTTGTCAATGATATAAAAAGGGAATAATATTTCATATCGTTATTAAAATGCAGAGTCACAGGTATTATGTTGAGCGTCCCTTTGCAAAGCGTGTCACTTCAGTCTGATATAAATCACTCTTATTGTCCTGCAATTTGCAGAAGAAGCCCTCAATGTCAAATTTAATATCAAAAACACTTTTTTTAAGAAAAAGGGATTCAATTGCAGCATATACATGTATATTCAACAACATATCTATGAATGATTTCTTGCATGTTTAAATAATTGCTACACGATGCTAAGAACTGCAATGTGTTGATATTTGAATAAAAAATATCTAAACATAAATATGGGAAAAAGTCCCCAAGCAATCCCTTTAAGTATAATCTTCTAAAGAAATTACACTTAATTGGAAAAGCTTCTGGTTACATATTCATTTAAAGATAAAAAACTATAAAGAATATTTGCAAATACCATTTAATTTCTTACAAATATGAAATTATTCTCAATTTTTGGGTTAATGATAGGGACAACGTTATATTTTTACGTCCTAAAGATGTGATTAGATGAAATCTGAGCCATTTCTTTCAAAGAGCTGCGTCAAAACTTCCAAAAGATATGAATTTTAAGACATTTATCAGCAGTTTGTTCTAAGAGCCAGAGAGTTGAAGTATTTATCCGTTCAATAATATGATTTATAAAAAAAGACCTGACTAATACATGTAATATAGCAAACAAGGCTTCTTAAATCAATCTGGACAATGAAATATCTCTTCTTTTAAAGGTGTACCAAGATAAGTGGTGCAGTTTTCCCATAAATAATTCCTTAAAAAAATGATTAAATTATTTGCTGTTTACTCTTGTGGATCAATGTTGTCGGAAAAGGATACAGATTTACAATGCCTCTCAAACTGAAAAAAAAAATTCTAATTCTGTTTTCAAGAATCATTAAAGTCAATTTTCATTTCATAGTGTCATTTCCAGAAATACATATCTTTAATATAAATAAATTTTCATATATTGAAATACTTGAAATAACGGAGCATATGTTTAACTATTTATGTGACAAAATGGAAACATTAATTCACAGTTTTGAGGACTCACCTTGCGGTACTAACACGTCATATCTGATTTAAAAAATCCAGACGAATTTAATGTCACAGTTATATTTTTATTAAAAGAGGTACCGTACTCACTACATCCCTGCCCTCCAAACCCTATCCTCCACCCCCATATTTAACAAGACTCTGACTGAATCTTACCTATAATTGTCAATTAAAGAAATGAAGAATAATTATGGAGTATTGTGTGGTTATTAAGAACGATAAATGTAGTATAAATATCTGTTAACTCACTTCCCTCGTCAATCTGCAAATTTTATTTATAAAGCCTTTAATTTAAGACAAAGAAAAATCACACGCATGTAAATTGTAATGTATATAAATTGTTAAAAGTGACTTATAGGTCCGATGGGCCGGGTGTTGAACATATATTATGTTTAATTGTATAACGAATGTTAAAAATAACTGTATATACACATGTCACTATAATAAAATATTTACTTACTTACTTACTTACTTACTATAGAGGTGGTACATGCATGAAATAAAAGTATAGTTTAAAATAACGAACCATGGGGTCAGTATTGAAAAGAAAATTCCCCTGACAGAACTAAATAAACTTAGCAGGGTCTACATACACTCAGAACATTTTATTTCAGAAATAGAACATATGAATGCTTGGATTTGCCAGAAATTACTTCCAGTTCCCAATTCTACAGCTTCATACATCTCAAATTGTATTTGTATAAAAACTATGAATGGATAGACAAAATTGTGTATGAGAGACAATTCCAATGTATCTTTTCTCCATTTGACCTTGTAAAACAAAGAAAACTGTGCAACTTTTATTTTTTTTGAAATATTGTTCTCATATTGCAGTTTGTGTACATTCTTTTCAATGACAAGTGTACATTTCTCCTTATTTGTGAAAATGAAAGAAAAAGATCTTTTTCACTCTGTAAATGAATCAAGCATCATTCTTTATTTTTAACAATGAATTAACGGCTTTGGCATTTTCCCAGTAACTGAATATTTATTATCTTTATGAATCATTGCAATATACGTGAAAGTGTCAAAAAATAAACACCTCTTTTGTGAGATCGATAGATTTACTTGGTGAAGGGTGAAGCAAATTAATACATTGATTATCAGGTCTGGCAGCTTTGATACCTATCTTTTTCAATTCATCAAGTCAACCTACCATTTTGAACGTTTACGACACTTTTTACCCAGAAGACGTATCACTTTAAAACTTGATATTTAGGGGCTTCGGACCAAAATGGTATATTCTCCTTCTTGCTGTGTGACACCAGAGAATCCGATAGCTATCAATACATCATACGTTGTTTAAATGATTTAGTGTAATCGTTTTGATAATAATGACCTTACATATATTACAAATGGGTGCGAATGCTTGTGAGCTATTTAGGGCCATTTAACTTAAATAGGGTATTTAAGATATTAAACACTGAGCAGATCAAGCGATAAAAAGACGCCTGGAACCAATTTAAAGATAGAATGACAGCTAGGGTGGAAACCAGTCGATGTGTTATAAATCTCGCTGTAATGTCAAAAAATTTAAAAAGAAAAATGTTTTATGATTTGTTTTGTGTTTATACTCCTATTTCAATCTTTGTCTGCCGTAGTCTTATTAATTCTTCCATCAAAAGGCAGTTTAATCTATCATTTTCATGCTAGAAATATTAACAAAATGATAACATTAGGGAATGACAATCTTTTTGTTCCCCTATCCATAATAACCAGACCTTTTTTTTCTTTTAAAATTCCTTGACGGATTATTTTCAAAACTATTATAACATTTTTTTCTCAATTACTTGTAAGTACCTAAAAATATAATATAATATGCATTTGAAACTTAATGCATTTAATTTTAATATCTATCAAATATAAATTTTACAATTATCGAATAGATCTTTTGATTTGCATCTAAAAGCATTCCTAGATTTTAAAATATAAAATAAGCTATAATTTTGAAACCGTTTTTCCAAATAAAAATTAACATGGTTGCAACTAAAGACGTTTTATTCTTTCATGACAGAAAAAATGATAACGAGAAATGGGCACAAAGTTTAATTTTTATTCGGGTTAAACTTGCATATGTCAAGACGAGAAAGAAGAAATAGTCATTCATATTTAAATTGATGTTTTGTGCTTCTCTTTGAACCTTTCCCTGAAACTGTCATTTCTGCACAAATGATAACCCGATTTTAATGTATTTTGATTGCTGATTAACTCTTTCTACATGGTTACTATGTAAGGTAAACAAAAGGAAATGGCAAACATTCTTTCTCTGATCAATTTTTATTTAATTTCTTTGTAGAAATCAACTCAGATGAGCTAAAGGTCTTTCAGCAATATTTACGGTGATTGAATCGAGCAATGGCTTCTTGATTGAAATCTATAGCAGCTGAGATTAAAGACAATTTAGACGATGCTGGTGAATGATAAAAGTGCCAGAATATAACTAGTGAAACAATGTGCCAAATCGGCCGGAAAATACAGAAGTTCAGTATTCTTAGAAATTCTGAAAGTTTCAATATTCGTCGAAGATAAAGTCATTAGAATATCTGAGCACATTCACATCTTTAAAAAAAAGTGATGTTTATGATATATCAATGTCATATTTTGAGTATTTTTGTTCCTACGATATAATTTCTTATTTTTAGAATAAAAAAAATAATTAACAGCTAAGTGAAAGTTCATTGAAATCAGTTTCACTATCATTGTATCGTCATACCGGATGCTACTACCTGTGTCGAATCCAATGCTTCATTTTTTTTATCAAATGAAATATCGACCTTTCCCCTAGAGGCATATTTCCATTAAATTAAGATATTAAAACGACACATCAAATTCATATTTAACTCATTACTATTGAATAAATGACAGTTAGGGACAGGGTATTAATGTAATTAGCTAGTTGACGAGACTCATAATTTCTTATTGTAATTTCGCTAATGTTATCATTTATCATCTCAACAGATCTTCGATCCCAATCAAGACATTTTAACACTTTTTTATCCAAAACTTCTAGATAAAAGTTTTTGATGATTTTCCAAAATGTGATTGAATTATTTTTTAATAGAAAGCCAGGCAGTATTTTGATAAAATATGAACAAGGAAAGGTGCGTTCATTTCAGTAAAATGTATTTTTATTTGGGAAAACAAATTCATTACAATATCAAGTGTTTGCTTTCATAGACTAAACTTTCCATTGATGTCATTTTTTGAAATATTCACATTATTGATGCAGGTGTTCCCGGTTCCATTGGGAGATTATAAATTTTGAGTTTTTATTCATGTATGATTTGCTGAATAATCAATGGACACAATGCAAAAGTTTCCAAAATCTCTGATATCTAATAAAACAGCTGTAGTTCCCGGTTTAACTTTTCAGATTGAAACATATAATTGAAAAAAAAAAATCAATTCACCATCATAAATATATACATTCA